CACCATGTTGACCAGGATGGTCTCGATCTCTTGACCTCGTGATCCACCCGCCTCGGCCTCCCAAAGTGCTGGGATTACAGGCGTGAGCCACCGCGCCCGGCTTTTTCACCTATTTTATGACATGAAATATTAATTAGCCATAAGTCTTTTTTTTTCCATCTGTATATATATATTTTTTTGTCAGTGAGTAGAATAATGTTCCCCTTATTTAAAACATCTTTTCCTCTAACAGGAGAACCTATTAAGTCTTGTGGTTTGATCACTCACTGGTTTTGAGAATAGATGAGTCATCTCTAGAGCTTCATGGTAGGCCATTCACCTTCAGTCTGTTACTCATAGTAAAAAAAACTCCACTGAGTTTAAAACCCATGAATCTGCTTACTTTTTATAATCTCAATATTCAACATTTGCTCACTATTTTATCTCTATTTGTTGGCCCGGTTTTTCTGTATTTACTTTGCCCAAACTGCACATTATGAAGATGAATATTTGAATGTAGATTCTTTTTGAGCCCCTCAAGGGCATATTGACATGGATTTAGTTAATTCTAGTCATTGATGTTGAAGAATTGTGAAAACACTCACTGGTAGAGGTGATTCTGTGGAGGCTATCCCATCCCAGTGGAATGTTAATGCTTTACCAAAATGTGTTAGATGCAATAGACAGATGTTTCTGTCTTGGGGGTTTAGGGCACAACATTTCTGAGGAACTCTGACTCAATCTGTCCCTTCTCCTTTCACAGGGCAGCAAGGCGAACCCCATCCCTACTCACTGGAGCTCAGCTTTGATTTTTAACCTCCCTTCCCCACCCTTCCAGAACACACACATTCCCATTCCAAAACTGATTTTATAAAGACATTTTAAACATAATGATGCAACTTGGTGTGCACTACGCGGCAAATGTACAGGTGTTTTTTTTTTAATTGTTTCCAAGACCGGGACCTGGATTTAAGATGTAATTTTTAAAATTTCTATTTCTATTTTTTCTGCAGCAGTTGGGTTAGAGGAGGAGGAGCCTTTTAGCCTCTCATAAACTGACCTCTCTACTTCCTCGTGTATTTTTAAGATTGATTGATGATGTGGAAAGGGCTTTGCTTGTCTGCTACTGAGAACTTTATCCTTGCGGTTTTTGTGGAAACTGCTTTTGGAAAGAGAAAAGAAATGAACTTTACTGACTTGACATTTTTGCACCTCCCGTTTTTCTAATCTGGGCTATTTTTATTTTTGTTTTTTTACAGTGAGATTTTTTTGATCTTCAGCTACAGTAAGTTATTCCAATTTTTTTTTAACATTTTTCCTGACTTTCCGCTGATTTCCTTTTTATTGTTGTTACTAGTTACTATTACTTATTATTATATTAATACTTATGATGGTGATGATGATGATGATAATGACACTGATGATTTTTAACCGGATTAAAATCGAGTTTTTCTGAATGTTTCTAAGAATTTCTCCGGCCTCCTGATTGACTTTGGAGTTTTGCATCTTGGGAGAGAAAGCGAAGGCATTAGTATTTTTAAGTGGATTGATCACATAAACCTTTTCTCTCCCAACCCCACCCTTGCCCTCATCCCCTTCCCCACACTGAAAGAATTTTACTGGCTGTTAAGTCTATGACCTTATTTTTCCTGATCTTTAACTTAACTGTTTTAGAGCATCTCTGGACGTCTGTATTTTTAATTTTTTTTATTTTTGTTTTTTTATTTTTAATCTTTCATTTGTTAAATTTTTAAACTGTGCTGCAATAAAATGTGTGTGGTACTACTTAACACTATGATCGTGATGGCATTTTCCCTGAAAGCCATCTTCCTCCTGTTTCCCTTGAAATCCCATCCTGCTTTTCCTGTACACTACCCCTCACAAACCACAAGCTGCAGCAACATGGATGCCCAGCCTGGAGCAGCAGCAGCCAGGATGACCTGGAGCCAGGGGGGCCTTCGGAACAGATGCACACCCTTCCTGGGTGATGGTAAGAGGTGTGAGGTCCACTTGGATTCATTACAAAGACTAGGAAATAAACCCGTTTAAGTTTAGTTGATGTGTATAGGT